ATCGCTCCACCCGCACGATCAATGGCAACGACCAGTGGCACCCGTCAAAGGCAGTCAAGCGAGTTGWAACGCAGCCTCGCGGCCTCGAGCAGCCCACGGCCGTCGAAACCTGGACTGAACTCCCGCATCCGCAGCATTCCCGCTTCATTGCAAGTCCGGCCAAATCAGCCACGAAGGATACACACGATGGACGAGTTGTACAGTGTGCATGAAGGACAGAATTACGACCTGCAGCACAAGGATTGGAACAGGACAACTGTGCATAGAGGCCTTCGTAAGATGATCGAGGCCAGTCCTGCTTACTCCTGAATCGATCATTGATTCTGAGACTGATCGGTTTGTTCGCCGGCACACTCGATCACCGCGGGCCTGTCAAGCCCAACTTGAGATCCTCGAAGAATTCCTCCAGTCGTGAAGCTTAGCAAGAGGCCGGGAGGATTTGACATCGTCACATCAAACACTGAAGGTCCGAAGAAGAGCTTGGATCCCACGAGCACAGAAGCAGACAAGAGCAGACACAGAATTTGGCGGGCAGGAGTGAAAGGTGATGGAACTTGCACACAAGGAATCGAGAGCAGAAGCATCAATCAAAAAGTCAAATGCCGAGCCTTTGACGAATCCCCCGGCTGCTTCTACTTCAGTCTCATTGACGTGCTGTGCGTCTTTTCGCGACCCTTTGGCAGTGGTTGGGGCATCATACGCGTAGGATTACCCGTGGGACTGTTGAGTGTTCAAACTCGGCACCATTCCGCTCATCACCAGGTAGCAGAGGGCAAAGCAAAAGGTGAGCATGCCCATCCAGACCCAGAGGCTTCTGACGCCAACACCACCACTCGTGTTCGAAGTAGTGACTCTAGAAATGAGCGCCGCGATATGAACTTGGATCGCGGCGCTTGCGACGAAGATTGTATCTTACCCGAGCCGTGCACGCAGACATTGTCCACGGCGGAACTGTATCAAAATTGATCTGACTTGAGCAGGCAGGACGTTGACAGCTCAGCAAGACGCTGCTGCACACCATACTTTCTGTTCTCGATCGCTACAGTAACGAATCGACGCCGACCATCGAAGCATAAGCAATCCGAGCACCTCCATTGCAAGCACATACAAGCCTTACACGACACCGCCCTGCTCGAGGCAGCCGCTCAGCGGAGACCAGGTGTGATAAATCCATGACGGCAATGAGCGATGCAGACAGTAGGAACAAGACAAAGGACAGTTTGGGAGCCATGAGTCTGGCCTCAGAGAAGAACTGTGCAACGACGCCGTGAGGCTTCTAGCCAGCGTTCAGCCCATGAAGCCTGACCGACTGTGACCGAGGACGTTGTCATCCAGCACAACAATCTGCCTTCTCTCGGAATAAGTCGACCAAAGATGAATCCCAGTGAATACGTCTAAACTTGCGAAGTTCCAAAAGCAGCGATGAGATCGCAGGACAGGAGGAACAGTGCGATAGATTTGCCTTCGTCCCGGCAGGAAGTACAATCTTGAGTGCGCTACCATGGCYCCAGGGTACCCAGGCGGAATCGACTTCTGTGGGAGAATGAGCTTCCATGATCCACAACATATCAACCAAAGTCATCGTCGCAGGGTATGAAAGAGCTGGAATGGAGACCCCGTTCGGAATCCAAATCTCACATCGTACCAGGAGGTTGTTCGCAGTGTCTCTTTGGTATCCCCCACGGCGAGTTCACAACTCTTAAGCTTTTCCCTGGCAAAGTGTCAGCGGCATATCGCACACCGCTCCCACCCACGACCGGTCGTTGTGTATGCGTGCGCGCCCACATTCTCCTTTCACTCCAGACCTCCGAACGGTATCAGATTCGTGTTCGCGACACTCACACCCGCAAACACTTCGCGGCAGTACAAAGTCGTTTGTTCGCCGCCATCATTCGCGTCGGCAAGTTTTACAGGGAACCCAACTACATCCGGAACTCAGTAGACCTGGCTAAGGACGCTGCCTGTGTGTATGCCGAGTACCGCGGATGCCTTCAAGGCTTCCCTGTCCTACACCGATTCCACGAACAGCGGGAGTGGACGGCGATTTGCTGCTTATCGGCTTGGAACCCGACCTGGAGGAAACGTTCAAAAGCGTGGTCAGAAGATTTTGCGTCTCCAATGTGCCCTCAGGGCCGAGATCATCTGCATCGAGGCTACCATCGATCGATCTCAAGGACTGGCAGACAGACGCACACCCTGTTGTCTGCGCCCCGCTGGAGTCACCCTACTGCGTTTCGCGCGGATTGCCTGTCGATAATCGCGCAATACTCCCGTAACATCACCGTCTCAAACCAAATGTCTCCTATGCAGCGCAGTTTGCCATGTCATCGTCGTTCATGGAATATCTCCCTCGTGTCGAGCACGGATGTCGCCTTGAGCCTCATACCCTCGCTGCCATCGGTTATGCAGCGAGACCACCCAGCCAGCAGAGAGAAACCCGCGGAGAGGAGGACTGGAGAGCCGTCAGCACGTTGGTCTCGATCGAAGTGTCGACCACGATGTTGTGAGGGGGTCTCTCAGCTCCCGCACCGCCGTGCTTGGGCTGGATGACGAGCGTATCCCAACATTGAATGTTGGCCTCCTGATCACACAACTCCCGCACACAGCCGAGAAACCAGTTCTGGGACTTACCAGTCACGACCTTCCTGAAGATCTCCGCGAACGACGAGTTGCTCTTCAGATCTGCCAGTATCGCGTTGCCTATGGGACGAGCACGGAGATACGACTCCTTCGCGTTCTAGCCTGGATGAACATGATTGGCGTGGCAAGCGGTCATTGGGCGAGCAGCAGCAGCAAAGCGGCAAAGCTGTGATACGGTGAGTGGAGATCGATCAAATGATGGTAGATCTTTACGTTTCGGAGCATATTGGCCGCGCTCTTGTGATCGGCTGGCAAAAGGTAACAGACAGGGCGGCTGGTCTTGTTGCTTTTGCAGCTACCGCAACAAGGGCGTTCGCCCAGCCTGCATCTGTAACGAGAGTGGACAGGGTTGGGAGAGGGTAACCTGCGTACCGAATGAATCCCAAAGGCAACCTGAATACTTGGGTTTCAAGTACGACTCCCAAAAGCCTCGAATGCAACATTTGACGTTTCGTCCGGGCCACTGAGCTCGTGACTTCCGAGCATCCATTGATGAGCTCAACACAGTCTCATATCTCACAATGACCACCATTGGTCCGCCGAAGTCAGCTCGTCTTCCGCTTATACCTGACCAAGCCATCTTCGGCTGTCCAATTCCATTCGACTGTCGCGTAGTCTGCGGTCGAAGCTTGTCCTTGGCTGTGTTGAAGATCTTTCTTCCCACTTCTTGCGGCATTGGGCGTTTCCATCAACACAGTCCACCGGAACACTTAGAGGCTTGCATCACTCCTTTCTCCTTTGCAGATGAACAGTTCTCGCCATCGTAGCAATATTATCAGAGATCACAGCAGACTGAGCCTGGGGAACAGGATCAGATTCCGATGTACCGAGCGTCTGGCCCGTAGTGAAGACCTTGCCAAAGGCGATCCGACGGGCTTTGAYGCGAAGCGAAGCGGCTTCAGGTGATTCCCAACTTTCAGACACCACGGTTGTGGCTTGCGCTCCCGATATGACGGGAGTCAAAGTCGGTGAGAGCCACCAAAACCTTCCTGTGTTGTGTTTATTCTGACATGACAGTCTTGATCCGCAGAGAATAATCTCAAAAGACAGAATCGGACCGTTCCTTCCCACACTGCGAAGTTGAAACTCAGGTGTATCGTGGTTGGATCGAAGAATGGAGACAATCAGCAATGCCGTTGTAAACTCTCGACACATTGCCTTGAAGTCAGGAAAGTAATTCATTGATATCAAAGCCACGCTGTTGGAAGAGTTGCACAGACCAATCTTCCTCCAAAGCCAGCATTTATCCAAGTGTAGCGTAGCCAGAACAATTTCCTTTGTCCGCCGAATCCGGGCCAGGAGGCGGTGGATACCAACAGACACGCGTCAATGGGTGACCTGTCATCGTGTTAGGAGCTTCTCAAGAGTTCTACCAACATGGCCTTGCTAGCAACCTCGAGGCCAGCACAGACGAGATGGTGATAGACTGTCAGCAAGGTTTGTGCGGCAGTTTGATGTCTCTTTGCATGGCTAAGCCTGCTCAACGTTGAAGCCCGTTCCTTGAACTCAAGTCGCATCCTTTCTCGATGCAAGTGGTCTCCACAGGCCTCCGGGCAGARGCCAGGMTACTTTCTGCGCCAGGCAGATCTGTCGAGCGGAATGCCCTTGTTTCTATCCTGAAAGGTGATTCACACAAACGTTTGCTTCAGAGCTGATCATTGGAGCCCGTGGTCCGAGGACTGCAGTAGCAGTCATTGGGGAAGTATGCCTCTTAGCAGATTTCTGGCTGTTGTTCGATGAGATCCTGCGTCGGTAGCCAATGTAGCTAAATGGCCGAGCGAGGAGTCGAAAGATGAGCAATGTCCCATTCGGCCTTGAAGGAGTCTTTGACCGATCCTGTGATTTGAAAGCAAAAGGTCGTCACTAGTAGGGAGATCGTCGTCTATGTAGCTCATATCTTTGCATCTTGATATTGATGAGATGTTCTATGTTCGTGTGAGACACGCATGCATGCTTCAATAGAGAGTGGTTGTCCATCTCTGCCCCATTCCCTCACTTCACGCGAGTCAAATGCAACGTGCCCTATACTGCGCCGTCATGAATGTAGGAAGCTCGATCTTCCAACACATCGTCCACTCGTCTCTCGGTCCGCGGTTGGCGTAGTTCCCCGTCGCCCGCATGGTCACACACATAGAAGAAATTCTCCTGATGCGTTCCGACACTAGCGCGTTTTAAGCTTACGCGCGGTGCCGCTCACTAAACCTCGAGTAATTTTTCACCACAAACAACGACCGAACACCACCTCCGACTTCACCCGGAACTTCAGTCCACCACAACATCCACCATTGTCACCTTCTGGCTGCGGGTCTTCTAGCAGTCACCTTCGGAACATCACCAAAATCAGGACCAGCAACAGCAACATGTCCTCAGCGCCAAGATTCCAGAATGTGTCGCGCGTCGGACCGCTCCCCAAATACTTGCCGAGATACGAAGACGTGAGTGGGTACCCAACACCCCCGGTAGCACCTCACAGTATTCGGAAAGCAAAAGATCGCAAAAAGTATGAACTCGCGTTGGTCGAGCATGGAAAACGTGTAGCCGCCTGGAGATTGACGCAAAATCCATGTCGCGTTCTGATTATCCACCCGACCAAATCAATGGTGCACAAGACAGCCCAGTACTTCGAGTACCAGAAAGCTCTGACAGCTCGGAAAGTACACATGCGGGAAGTGGTCAAGATCCTCTATCGCCAGCTCGACTGGGACATCGTGGCGACAGTCTTTCCTCGGGTCTTTGTCCGGGGCTTCGAACCTCGCACCATCACAATCACACCTCGGGGACTCGAGATCACTCTTGGCGAGCATTACATCGTCTACACTGGAGAAAAGCTCGCCAGAGGTACCTCCATTGCCCGCATTCTCGAAGGCTTCGTGGCCGAAAAGCTTCTAGCGGAAGTCTTCGCCGTGGCCCAAGATCCCTTCCTTCCGATTGCAACCATCAAGAACAACGAGAAAGTCGCTGCGAAACTGGTGGAGCTCATCAGCAAGGAGATTCTGAGATCCTCCACCATCGAGATCGAGCCCGTCTTCACTTCCGGTGGCCAAGGCGGATGGGTGCCCGTTCCCGCTATCCYCACCAGCTCCATCACCTCTGTCCAACACATCAACATCCTGCTCCCTCTGCTTGAGAACGGAAAGGTCCTGTCACACTACTATCCAGCCAAGCTTTACACCATGCAGCTCGAAATCATCAAGATCAAGACCTTCTTCCCGTCTGCCAAGAGTGTCATTGTCACCGTCACAGAGCATACAGGTGTGGCGGGTACGCCCCGTAAGACATATCTTGCGAGGAACTCGACCATTTCGGCGACTCAGATGATGACGAAGATGCAGACTCCTGGCAGCTTCGTCCCAGACGAGGAGACTACATTGGAGGCTGAGTTGGCTGTTCTGAAGGTCGCGCTCGCGCTGGGTTGCATGGGTGGATCGGTTGAAACGGGTGTGGAGCTTGTGAAGAAGGCGCGCGTCGTCCCGCATATTCTGGGCCGAAGCCCATAGTGCTAAGAGATCCGCGGTGCATGTCGTCGCGCTGATGGCGGCTCTATGGGCTGCGGTAGTTAGCAGAATCGTCKATATGACTGAATGAAAATGTTGTCGGATACTCTCTCCCTTCAATAATGTGACTCGCTGCTAACAATCAGGCTTCTCGTGGGCTTAGAATAGTCGATCATGTGGAGAGCGAGGCCTGAAGATGTAGACACATAGCAGTCGACATACATCTATCGTGGACACAGAAACACTCGCACTACCGTCGGGGGCTCCCTTCACTTGAAAACAGACGCTCTGCCAACTATCAAGAAACTCGTCAACTAAAAGTCGTCGATACTGTAGAGAGCGTAGGTCTCAACACATGTACCAGTCGAGTCGAATCTGTCATCAACTCACTGCTTATGCGGAGGTGTCGATATGGGAGATCAAAGTTGCCAATACGAGAAGATTTCAACACAGTAAAATGCTCTCCACGTTGAATAACAGGCGCTCTACAAACGATTTGAATTCCAGTAGACCTAGAATCATCGATAGTACGGAGGGCGAGGCCAGCAGATGAAGACACATAGCAGTCGACTCGGATCTTTTGCAGAATCAAAGAAAGTCATAGTGCCGTGGACTGACTGCACCCTTGCACTCGACAACAGACGCTCTACCAACTATCAGGATTCCAGTAGGCCTTGAATGGTCGATATCGCGGAGAGCAATTGCTTTAAATCTGTTGTCGGCTCATTTTCCAAACAAAGCTGTCGATATGAAGGATCGGAATTGTTAACAGAGGAAAGTCACAGTGCTGTCGAATGCTTTCCGCGGTGAGCAACAGGCGCTCTACCAACGATTGAATTCCAGTAGACCAAGAGTCGTCGATACTACAGAGAGTGTTGACCGAAAGGCACATAGCAGTCGAATGAGACCTGTTGAAAAGCTATCGTTGACGAGAAAACAGGATTTCCCAGATTGCCACGGGGAACGCGATTCGTGATCTTGTGATTGTCGAAGCTGTCGATGTGCGAACTATCTACCAGAGCAGCGCCCTAGACTGCGCTCTCAGTCAATTGACGGGCCACTCTGCTGGTAGCAAGAGTCGTAGTATAGCTGATGTTGTGGACCTTGTGGAGAGCAGGGCCTGAGGACGATGTGCAAAGAACTAGGAGGACTTTGCTTCGGCAAATGATCTTTGTATTGACAGCCTTGGTCTCTGTGTACCGGTATGCCATTTGGAGTTCTTTGCAGCAGATATGAAAACCATCGGGGATGAAAGCATCCCTCGTCGCTCTCTCGATTGTTTGGTAGGCCACTCTGCTGGTAGTAATGGTCGCAGCAGGCATAAAACCTTCAAATGTGGGGAGAGCGAGGCCTTGGGGTCCGAAAGGTATGACTGAAGTTGTMGTATCCCCATGTAGAGTGCTCATACAGACAGTTACAGCCGTTTCTTTGTTAGATCCATGGTCATTGTCAATCTCAAAGCAGGTCTTCGGGGCCTTAGACCCAAGAAGGGAAGGTGGACAGAACTCATACCGTTACCAATTTCTTCTGACCTTCCTTTCTCCATACAAAGGCGTGGGTCCTTGTAGGTTTCCTGCTCAGATTCTGGACGGTGATAGTCGCAATTGCCAACGGGAGAGATCAAGATTGCGGGATGATCGTAGACAGCACTCGCTATCTGCAAAGAAAAGCAGATCAAGATCTTTGCGGCTTACTCGCTTCGCACAGCTGTCTGACTTGTCTCAATGGAAAGCATGTTCCGGGATTGCTTCCCATGGGAATGTTTGCAAAGTGATCCAAGCAGACAATGACTAGGCCCCTGAGGCAGTTTACTGGAAAGAAATGCTCTAGTCTTCCGTGAGAACAGCAAGACTCCTGCTCCCATTCGTGTATATTCCTATCTCGATTATGTATATGTCGTCCATCCGATGAACGGGCTTGAGCCGGAAGCAGAAGCGGGAATGATATCCACTCCAAGTGCAGATCCTTTGGTATATGTAAATGTATACAAACGGAAGTCTCTGGCTCATCGTCAGCATGCTATTCCAGCAACCAAATCAGAGCATAGGTTAAGTTGGACCTATAGCTACCACCTGAGCCATCTCATCCCTGGCGGCTGGAGTGGAGTACGCTTCAGAGAGCATGAGTTCCTAGCTGGTGGCTTCGTTGTCTGGCCATGGGTACTGGCAACTCCTGATTATATCCATATCTTTGGGTGACCTCCTTGAAGGCGTTCCCTCCATACTCGGAGGAGGTACTTTTAGTGAACAGTCGAAATCATGTTGATACACAGAACTTGAGTTGAAAATACGTGGGAGGTTCTTGAGAAGTCACTCGAAAAGGGGTTCCGACCTCCGACGCGCTCTGTCGGCCTCATCAACCTCCACTTCAACATTCGACCACCAAATCAACAACGGATTCCTCCTCCTCATTCCACAACAGAACAGCATTCAAACTCATCGACCACCATCTTGTCACCAACAAACATGCATCCGATTCTTTTTTGGGGCCCGCCGTTGGCAAACATTTGCGCATGTCTTCCTGATGAAGATCTCAGAAGCCTGGCCGCGACGAGCCGTAAGATGCGCAGAATGATCAAGAAGATCATGTCACAATCGCGAACGTGTAGGCCTGATGGGCGCCCACCGCCATTCCGCCAGGCCCTGATAGTCCACCCGAAGCAGTCCAACGCCGCAAAACGCATTCGATACAAGCAGTACTCGATCGAGAAAAAAGCTGCGCGCGCGACCGATGCATGGTTGCTGGAGCTACTTTGCTTGAGGATGCCTGACGACATCATGGAGAACAATCTTCTCCCTGCCCTCATCCGTTCTTTTGAACGACGCGAGGTTATCATTGAAACAGCCACCCAGCGCATCTGGCTCTACAAGGACATCAGACAGCACGATTTCACAAATGAGGACATGTCACACGGCGCCACGAGCTCGATCACTCCTCTCCTCCGGTCTGTGACTCAGAGCCGCATCCTCGCCAAGTTCATTGCGGCTAGCAAGGAACCCAGCCTCGCCGCGAAACTACGAGCAAAGCAGATCTCTGTCCGTGACTCTCTCCTCCCGGCCTTCGGAAAGGCGCTCATGAGCTACGGCAACATCTCGAGTCCAGCAACTTTCCCATCCACTCGCTACCCACAGTCCTCCCTCATACCACTTGCTTTGAAGGACTACAACAACATCATCGGAAACCTCGAACTGACATTCGCCATCAATCACACTGTCTCGAAGGCCCTGTACTACTACCCGACTCAACTCCACGACTGCCAAAAGGGAGCCAAATCCATCCTCAAATCTTTCCCGACGTTGAAGAACCTCCGCATCAAAGTCACGGAGATTCAAAAGACCCCTGTCGAGGGGCCTACTCAATTTCTCGTCCAACGACCCTCCATACAGAAATACCACCTCGTTTATGTCGAAGGCGCCTTTTCGCAGGATGAGACAATCATATTCGAGGCGCTGATGCAGACCTTGGCTGCGAGCTTGGTGGAGATCGGAGGACTGCGTCAGACAAGTGTGTTGGCGGTAGAGAAAATGATAGGTGACCCGACGAAGGAGACGCTCTGGGTAAATGGTGTTTTGCAGTCTTAAAAGCTCGGGTTTGGATAGATGACAGGAGCGTTTATGTGGCAATTGGAATTGAGCGGGTTGAACGGTGTGCTGTCGATCTGATACCTCTATAAAATGATTTCCTCGCGTTTTCAAATCTCCTCGCTTGTGACGATATGACCTTCGCACGACGGTTTTGGACTCCAATGAAGGCCATCGGGCAGGGAATACAACGCATACGTGGGACTGATTGAATACATGTTATGTGCTCGAGGCCATGGAAGTCAGTGGCGCCCATCAGCACTTGCAATTCACCCAATCAATCGAAGAGGTAGGTATACGCCAAGTCATCTAACCTAGAGAAGAACAGAGACATCAACTTAGCCCTGTACCGTTCCCGATATGAGATACTTGCTTGGAGTGCTCCCGGCCTGGACGCTGGAATGATATGACCATCCTAATTCCCCGGCATGAGAGCGGCATTCGCATAGCCTCTGTCGATGTTACACATCGTATTCTCAACACCTTCCTGCTCCTAAGTGTGAGTTGGCTCAGGCCTGCAGCTCTGCGGCATCGGCRAGCGGAAATCATGAGGAGGTACCTGGCTTGCAGGCCGACGAATTTGCGAAGCCTGTATTCATCTTCTCTTGCAGTCTTTCCATTTGCCCTCGAATGAAAGAAACTACGAACTGTTTCCCCCCGTAGCACTAGGCAAGAAGCAGACTTTGTGCAAAGTGCCAACGAATGTTGAAGAGCTTGCTTGCTTCCTTCAGCCTCTGCAGCTTACGGGATCCTCTCCTACTTCCTGAATGAGCTCTGCTTTGGTCGTCATCATGCCTGTTGAGCCTGCGGATGCCATTCATGCCTGACTACGAATCATGATCAATCAGCCTGAGCACCAGCTTGAGGCGACCGAGGAAAGAACAAGAATGCTCAGCACGGGATCCAGGAGTCTAAGTGGCGAAGACCACGGGTTTGCATCCCTGCATCACTTTTTGATGCTCTTCTCGTCCTGTATTTACATCATGTGGGACCTTTACTGAAGTCCCAGAGACGACATCACTGTACAAATCGTGAACGTGGAGATTCTCATCCATCCGAATGCCGAGCAGTTGCCAAAGGTAACATCCGCTTCGGGCTTCAACCTCCAGCGTCCGAAATGGTCATCTTGTCGATCAACGGCAAGACTTGTTCGGCATTTTGACGCATCCAAGATGGCCGTTGTGTAGGCCTGACGGTGGTGCATTGGCGCTGCTGGACTCTTTGCAGCCCATTCAAGATCAACTTCTTCTTCCCAATGAGGGAGCTCAAGGGTGTACTCTTCCCAGCGAAGGTTTGCACCGATCAATATGAAGTGCCGTAATCTTGTTGCACTGCTGAACGTATCCGGCGCCACGCCGAATCTCTGAATCGTTGTGGCTTCTGAAGATATAGCTCTTGCTTTGTTGCATGAAGTTGAGCACCTGTCGACTGCTGCCGACTCTGTAATCTCAAAGGCTTAGTGTTGAGCACCTCCGCGACATCCGGTACCTCAGGGTCGATAGTTTCAACAGATGAGTGGACAATGGCGGCGTCTCTATGGGCTTGCAGAATGTACATTGGCCCCTGCAAGGCTGTTTGAATGCAATCAACCTTCTTTCTGCCCGGGTATGAAGGCCGATACAATAGATCAGCGCGGTCAGATCTTGGTTGTTAGTAGGAAAGGATAGGGAGATGCATCATTGCAACGCTTGCATTACTGACGACGCGTCCCAGGGGTCGGAGTCATGTGATTACTGCACGTCCGTCAGACAGGCCGCCGTAGTCAGCCGCACACACTACCAATTCCCCAAACTTCACTTTTCTTCCCTTTCCTTTTCTTCTTCACAATCACATCCAACCAGATTGTCAACATGCCACCACAACGCACAACCATGCACAAATCATCAACGCGGCAATGGCAGACATGGGACCCAGGCGGTCACCGCCGCGAAATCCTCCAACTCCAACGCCCACCGAAATGAAAAGAAAAGAAAAATTCCGACCAAGTCATCTTCACAGCCACCTTTGTCGGCCGAGTCTCTCGGCCCAACAAGGAAGATGCGTACTTTGAGTTCGAGAAAGACGAACAAACTCTCTTGTGATATTCTCGTCGCTGCAGAGATGTCGCGGCTTAAAAGGCCGCACATCGACAACGTAAGCACCAACTTCCTTCCTTCCTTCCTTCCACTGTTCAAAACTAACATCACTCAATCACAGGGATGGAAGGTCACAACAAAGGAAATCATGGACCCCCTGAAGCCCAAGAAGCAGACTCCTTCTTCTTGGAGGACATCCGCGAGGGCCACGACGTACGTACGACAATCATGGTTCGCGACATTCCGAACATGCTGGTCGTGCGCGGACCTCAAGAAGCGCACGGATGGGTACTGTCATCGACTCTACGACTTCTCGTACCTTCGCATCGACTTCAGCGAGGGCATCAAGGCCTCGGCCAGCAGCAACACCCAGAGATGTGGCGGATGAGGTTCGACGCCATGGCCTGTACGACTTCTCGTACCTCCGCATTGACTTCAGCGAGGGTACTGAGGGCTCGGCCAGCAGCAACACCCAGAGATGTGGTGGATGAGGGTCGACGTCAAGGTCATGGTAGAAAGACTTTATATAAACGATAATACCAAACATTTTATACACTTTTGTCCCTGTGCACTTCACCTGTCTTATGTATGTCCGTCTTGCAATACCTTGCTGGCTCGTTTGTCTAAGTTGCAATGCTGTGCGCGTCTTTTCACGGCCAATGTCAATTTGAATGCGTGTATGAATAACCGGTCACGCCTTTCATTTGTGGAGTATTGAAGCTGAAACTTGTGGATTTCTCATGCTTGTTCTATCTACTCTTCTACAGCAGGCTCAACAGGAGTTTCAGTGTCTTGCGTATTCTGACCAGTGAACTGCACCGTACTTCTCAAGCGATCAATGTCCAAAATCCCACTATCGCTTACGGTATCAGTGGTTTCAATATCATCTGATCCAATAACAATCGCATCGCCTCCCTGATCCCCTGCGCCACCAACTCCCTCCACCCCATCTCCATCCCCCATCCCTCCCTCACTCCCAGCAATCTCATCCGAGAACCCATTCCAAGTCTCATCCCCATCTTCAGACTCCTCATCCTCCACAACATCAAACAAAAACCTAGCCCTAGCAGCAGCCAACGCACAGCAAATTCTCGTCCTAGGCTCTCCAGTTTTGAAACTAATCAAATCACCATACCATTCCCTCGTGATTTCATTCACGAAGAATCGATGTCCGTTTTCCGCCGAAGAGATGCCTATGTCCATGCGGACTCCTACTTCTAGCGAATCGAACATTGTGGTACGGTAGGTGTCCGTCTGCTGAGTGGCGTTCGGAGTGTCTGTTGGAGAGGTTGCTGGTGAGGAGAGAGGGGAGGAATCAGGCGGTGGTGGGCTGGGTTCGGTGCTGTTTTCTGCGGTACCTGTTGCTTGTGGGGTGTCTTTTGCAGCTTTCGCAGGTCTGTCTGGTTCTGCATCCTCCTCAGGTCGCCGCTTACGCCGATTGGRGGTCGACGMAGAGGTACCTGTCTCCGCTTCCGCTCTTGGGATAGTAGGCTCAACTACATCCTCCCTCGCACCGTACTGCCGCAACTGCTCGAAGATGAACAACGCGAAAGATTCCAAGTTGTGATATGTCCGGGTCCCGCAATGCTCAGCACTTAGCAAAGCATGCGGGACGCGATTCATGACATTCACCAACGGTTCTTCCGGACGACCATCGCGAGGCTTTGTATGAAAAGCTTCGAAGACGGCGCCTTTGATGCCGCGGAGACCGGTCTCATCTGGTATCGTGACGATGATGAGCCGGAATTCGCCAAATTTGATCAGGGATGGGACTTTTCCTTGGTGAAACCAGATTGGTGCGGCGGAGATCATGTATCTTAGTCGCTCTTGGGAGAAAGGTAGAGATGCGATAGCTTGTCGATTGTTTTCGCCGGGTGGTGGTGCTACACGAGGAGAGCGCCGTCGTATTCCTGCCTGGCAACGCAGTCTTTCTGTTCGATCTGCAGTGGGGTTTAGATGCACATTGTCGCCACCTGCAGAATGGCTTCTTTTGATCACAGCTGGACCTTCAAGAGTGCAATCTTCCGTCTTGAAGCATGTTTGAGGCCGATATTGATATGCAGGAGAGATGGCCTTCTTGGCAATGTATTCCAGAGCAGCAATATCTCCAATCTTGCATTCCGAATGATGTAAATCTCCAAACTCCGGATAGCAGCGTGCTCTTCCTTCTTGTAACTCTCCGAGCCTTTGATACACGGCGTGAATCCTTGGCATGTTCGGAATTCCAGACCAGCAGAATATGAAGAGCGTCCTATGCTCGATTTGGTCTGCAGAAGTACCGTCGAGGCAAGCGAGCAACTTGTCAAAAGGCCAGTAAGAAACAGAAGGTATTGCGCCATCTTCAAGTGCTGCTCGATCAATATCATTGAGCGTATCCACGAGTTCCTGCTTTTTTCTCTTCCCTGGTGGTCCAAGACGTCGTTCTCGTATCAAACCCCTCAACTCATCTACTTTCAGGTCGCTGTAGTCTTGACTCGAGGGCGCGCAACCTACAATCCGCCCCATCTCAGAGGCGATGATGATAGATTGGTGTATCTCTCGATGCGCAGAGTCTTTAGGCCCGTTGTAGACCCATTTGGGCCCGGCTTCGTTGGTGATTCGTTTCCGCTCCGCGTCTTGGAAACAAGGTGGAATTTGATGGTTTTCTGCAATGTCCTCGCTTCCAACTGCGACCATGCTTCCAACCAGTATTCGTGAGCCTTCTTCTGGTAGCCCTTGATCATCTCCGACCCAGATGATGTGTTCGGGTCGCCATCTTTTTGGGGTTGTCCGCGATGCCATGTTCCAAGGGATTTGATCGAGGCTGCAGGTCGCACCGCCTGAGAATTGTGAATTGGATTGAGACCTGCACGCATTTTGGTGTATCGCGGATCACGGTCTGGCTGCGCAGAGCGCAGAGCGGGGCTGCAAGATGTCAAAGGAGCGGAGACACAGACACTTTAGTGGATAAAGAAGTGTGAAATCTCGCRGTGGATTCCTTGTCTGCTTGCTGTATCTGCTTTCGATCAACAAAGAATACGCTAGGCTCGACTAGTGTCTTGTCCTACATTTCGTTCGCGAGATGGCATAGTACCTTATTCACATTGATCAAAACTACAAGGTGAGCAAGTGCAGTATCAAGTCTCGCGCCGTTGACAGAGAAGCATGTGCCTCCCGAACAGTGACCTGCCTTTTGGGTCTCTACTCTGATTCGAGCCTTTTGTAGACTTACGTTTCTACTGCTGTCGATACGATCATGGCATTTTGGGAACATTAAGCGAGACGTTGAAATAGACGAGTAGTGTTTCTCGTTGATACATCTGCTTTCGCATCCTTTGCTCCCAGATACAATCCCTCTTCGATGTTCAACCCTTCCATCCCTTCCTCCACACGCCCTCCGCCTCAGGCCATAAAGGCCCGAGAAACGATGGGCGTACCCCTCCACCTCCCGCGCCCGACGCTGGGTTCAGGTTCAGACCGCCCAACCTCCGGTCATCAAAACCCGAGAGACGGCGGACGGACGTACCCCTCCACCTTGCCGCCACCGGTCCTGGGTTCAGGTTCAGACTACGCAGCCTCCGGTGAGAGAGAGCCGAGAGACGACGGACGTACCCCTCCACCTTCCCGCCGGCCCTGGGTTCAGGTTCAGACTACGCAGTACCGTGCCCTGCATGTTGTCCACCAGAGCCAGTCCGCCTCAATCTTGGTCTTCAGCAATTTTTCAGGATGAGAAATTGGCATCGCTTCCTTGACTGCGTGGTTGATGATCCATAGCCTTTCTGGGTTGACCAAGCGAATCAAAGTGCAACCATGGCGGTGCGATCAACCAATAGAACCCAGGGTGAGTGCATCCCGAATGGACGATAGAGCCAGAGCCCAGGTACTAGGTGGAAGACCTTGTAAACTGTTCAACGGGTTGGACGCGATGCCTTGTCAAGGCACTGTCCGGGGCAGTCGAAGTGCTGGCAAAGATGTTGACGTAAAGATTGACAGCGGTGGGCCACGACAGCCAGGGCAGGGAGATGCTCAAGGCGGCATCCGGAGTGATGAGGCGTCGTTGCCAAAGAGCAGCGTTGCAGCAAGAGGTCTCTGGAAAAGAGAACTTGGATGGATGTCGTGGACAAGCCAATCCGCTGATATGGCCTTGAATCTCAAGCTTTGCAAAGTTGTAGTCTTAGTCCTTCGTGTAGACAGGACGGCAGACTTGGAGTAGACTGGAGTAAAGAGCGCGGTGCACCGTGCCCGGTGAAACTCTGTAGTGTCTTTCTGGAGGATCATGTTCCCTCTAAGCCCGACCATCAAGATCCGGATCGGATGGAGGAGGTACCACCGCTCTTTTCGCAAGGCCGACATGAGTCCTTATGGTTGGTATTGAGGCCGGACGCTGGGCCTGGAGATGGTCCATATGCAGTACCTCAGAACAGGCAGTGTTCACGGGGTAGCGGGCTGTTGTCTGGCATGTGCAGAGGGCCCATTTGAAAACGGGATCGCGACTCACTCCATTGTCGGGATTCCATCGGCAGCCGAAACGACTAAGCCGTCCAACAGCATCAGAGCTGCCGTCGTCGCTGGACGTGATGCGTGGTAGGGGATATCGATGCAAACATGACGCTGTGGCATATTGAGAAGCTGGGGTTGACGCGCGCTGAGGGCGTCTGCTGAGAAAGGCCGAGATGTGATTTGGGTGGAAGCCCTACCAAAGCATGTCAGCGTACCGAGCCTGATGCTCAGGGTGAGCGACTTAMCTCTTAGTACATTCATTGACCTTGCGGCGCTGCGTGGACATGATCATGGCAGACTTTTACAGCCGAAGCAAGTGGCTTTGCAGCCCTTGATGACCTTTGGGGGATATCGATGCAAACCGAGGCAAATGTCTTTGCCGCCTGTGATAGCCTGGGGTGAAGATCGATGCGAACCGGTAGCTTCTGTGTTCGGTCGAGCGAAAGAGCTGCCGGCACGCCTCAAAGACATGCTTGAAAATTGGCAGCATTCGCGTCTTCACCGTGTATGTTGCCGCTGAGGATGGAGTTGAAGAAGTCTGCCTGGAGGATGTCAGTCTCTTAATAGCATCGAGAGAAACACCTGCGACGTACTGACCGGCTCATCTGTCACTTTTGCGGTGTTACTGACGCAGAGGCTCGTTGTGATGGCGCCATTGAAGTGAGCCGCCTGCTGCTTTGCTGAGGCGTGAAGGAGAAGAATGCAAGCCTTGTTAGCGGAGCGTCGACATGGAGTAGTGAAGAGGCGGTGACACGACGTGATATTGTAGTTGACATGTCGAGTCATGTCGATGAAGGAAGCGTGAAGGTGGATGTTGAAGTTTGCGGAAAGCAGAAGCAACGATATTGACGCGCCCTGTCTCACGCGTTTGCCGTGGACGACTTCACATTCCAAGCTCTCTTGCAACTACGTCCAATGAGTAGCCCTAGCTACATATTGCGTTGTACAGCTAAACTGTCTATTCTCACTTGCAGAGCATCGCGAACAGACGCGAATCTCGATCATTCTTGGCGATGTGCTTCTGCAGTCACTAGGGTTAGGGTTGGGGTAGTGTGCGTACGTGCGCCGACAGCGACATACTCCAGGATCGCTCAAGAGTGCACGTAGACCGGCGAGATATGATTCCTGATGGCTGGTATCTTTGATAGGCAGGGTGTCCTACGAGGCCGCTGAGAATACTCGAGCTCTTGAAACGAGAGATTCCGTTGTGGCTCTTTTAGTGACAATAAGTGGCAGAGCTGTCGATACGAGAATTCTCAACCGAGGTAGAATGCCCTTAGCCGTCTTCATGATGTCTGGAGGCGTCGCTCTCTGCAGAGTAGACAACTCTAGAGCTGCTAGAATCTCTACTACTAGTAGAGTTGTCCGTTATTTGATTGAGAGGGCAGTCAAGGGCGCTGTCTGGTTGATGATTTCCTCATGTCGACAGCTCTGATAAGTGGGAGACCTGATTCAGGATCGCTGAACTCTCGTATCACAACAGAGGAGTTATCACTGCACGGATGAGAAAAAAGTGTTGAGGGACAATGTGGCAGACTCCATTCGTATTGCTACTAGATACCATGTAGTCGTCCTCTTTGGGAAACCTGCATAGGCTCATATCGGACCACGCCCTCTGCGAGACTATTTCTCCTCCCAGTCGCCGCGAAAAGTCCGCGAACGGTATGATTAGAAGTTCATACTCATCAGTCATACCGCATCACGTCTGATTCCAGGTCGCGTACTAGCGACTGGCTGTCCCCTTTCAAAATAGTTGAGATATGAATCTGATGTAGAGTTTTGGCGTCTGCTCGCACGCTTGGATCACCGTTGAAAGGATAAAAATCCTCAATTCTTCGCCCCTGTAGGTCTTGATAAACGCCATCGAAGAGTCGGCGTGGCTGGGACCCTGGAGGCATTCTGGAGTATTTTCGGATTCATCAACATCCGTGGGCACGGCGACCTTCGATTCATCCAGCTCTCCCTCGGGCAAATGCTGCTCAGCGGCGAGGAAGCGCACATCCCGTAATGTCYTGGTATGAATCACAGGCAGGGAAATGAGCCATTTGGAGAAGATGTCGAGATCGAGGAAGACAAAGCGCGTGTTGCCATAAAACTCGCGGCTGGCGATCAGACGGGTCTGACTGTTCACTTGTAGGAATGAAGGTGGCGTGTAGGTGTTCTCGACGGTGACAGATGCATTGATTGATCCGACATCCTCGTGCGTATCGTAGTCGAACACAGCGGTCTTGATCTGATCGAACAGTTCTTGTGGGAGGCGGTCGAGGAGTGTGCAGAGAGGGAGGCGTTCACGAGCTGCGCGTAGACATCTCGCGTCCCGGTTCGGATTGATTGACACGTTGAATACTGGCGCCATTTCAAGTCGTGTCCACTGGCTATCTTGACGCGGCTTAGGATAGGCTTGTGTGTTGATGAATGTTCAGAGGTGGTGAGTAAGAGAAGATCAGTGACGTGTTGGAAGTTCAGCTGAGATGCGGCGTCGAAAAGCTCGGGCGTCTTCGAGTCCTCAAAATCGAGCCCGAAATGTGAGGTTAGCTGAAGCTTTTCCAAGGCTGCGAGAAATATGGCTTTACCGTTGAATGAGAAAGTATCCAAAGGTAAAATCAACCAACTCTTGTTCCCACGGCAAGCTTCAACCCGAATGTAGCGTCAGTCGTTGTCAAAACTCAGTGGCCATGTACGACACGCGAAATACAAGAACGAAGTGAGGCGACCAGCAAGCTGCACAGAAGAAGTTGATGACGTTGCGGCACACTTCATCGGTGAGTAATGTTCAAACGACTGGCTGGTAGATGAGGAGAGGAGGAGCTGTCCCATTGCAAGAGTTTACGATTGAGGAGCGTTAGATCATATGGCATTGGTAAAGCAAAGCTGCCTTCTGAGTGCTACATATATACTGTATTAGGATCGCCGGTGCAAAGATTCTAAGACATCGTGATGGAGTTCCAGCCCAGGAGCGATTCCGGTATCAACCAGGGGTGGTTGTGTCCGGCATCGAAGACGTATGTACCTTCACGCATCGCAACACTAACGTCCAGCGTTAGATACTGGGCTCTGATGCTCAGTAGGCCCGATCGCTGCGACAAATCTGACGCTACCAGCGGCGTGAATGTGGTTTTCAAGATCATTCGATCTGGTGCAGGTTCACACCTAAGGCACTTCGATGATGTATCGCGTAGCAATCCATAGCGCTTTCCCAATCGAATTCCGCAACAATTATTATTTCTCACCTTTGTTCGCCCCCTGATCTGTCGACACTTGCGATACAAGATGCCCTGAGTGGTAGCACGTCACAGCATCCACGTACTGACTTCCACAAGGTGGACGGCTGGAGTCTCCCCGCTTTCAATCGTCGGTCGCGTCTGTTAGTCTCCCCACTACGTCAGGAGAACTCCACGCGACAAGTCGTCCCTGGTCGAAGATGAAGCTTAAGATCGATGAAAGATGATCGCGAAAAGTGTGGTGCAAATCTCTCCATCATGACGGTGAAGGAGTCTTGCCTCCCCGACGATGGATGCTTGACGGACCATTAAGTGAGTCGATTCAAAGACATCAAACCAGGAGAGCCCGATCTAACAGGGCAGCGATGGAAAGGGCCAAACACCCAACAGATACAGTAATCGATGCGTACCAAGCCGCAACGCAAGCAAGGATTGATTGAAAGACAATCTCTTTGTTCAGAGTGAAGAATCGGTGTGCTTGACGCAGGGTGAATGCCCATTGACAATGACACCCAGGGATCGATTGATGGGACCGCTGACCTAGAAGTGATCCAGATTGATTGATCGATGACTTTGTCCACAGGTCCTTCAAAGCCGAGTGCAAATTGTTCATAGCCCTCGACAGTTACGTGCCAGATCCCCGAAGGCAAACTGCTTCAGGCCACATCTGGTACCCCGGCCTCAGCAAACTGTTCTGCTCGTCCAAGGTGCACATCTGGCGTCGTAGCTTGGGTCTATGCTGATCKTGGCCAGCTCTTGCGGGCGATATGAAGGCTGCTAGCGGCGACTCCCAGTGGTTGCAATGTATGAATCTTGCCCGCTTGTCCTGACATCGCGACTTTCCGAGTCGATGCAACAAGAATACATGTTCATCAACTCCAGTCCGGGAAGCTCCTCGCATTTTCCAACATGCTGCCTCTGTGGTCTTCCTTAGCCGGCTGCGCAATACAGCGAAGTCACTTCTCATTCTTATCCCTCTGGGTGCGTCGATTGTTCATGACTAGCAGCTCGGCAGCCCAGCTCATCCCGTCTTCTTCTCTGTCCCAATCAAAAGGATGGAAGTCCGATGGACGATGATTGTGACCATCAGCTTGAGCAAAGGCTATGTTGGTGGTGGAAGGACGGAGCCCGTTGTCTGGCCTCGTTGTAGAGTAACAGGCGACGCGTCTTTCATCCAAGTACGACTTGTATCTGCTCCTTCCGCTTGCCGACACTTCGTTCCCTTGTGTCCACGTTTTGCCAGAACACGATTGCCGTGAGTGCTTGACCTGCACCACTGTGATCTGTTCCCGTGTTGTCTGTTTTACTCCGAAGCTGAAGTCGCCTGAGCGTGGGCCATGGGCAAAGAAGCCCAGAAGGTCTGATCGGGTGGAATCATTGCTTGTTCCTCTGCGGGTATGATTGTTTGATGCCTTCAGTCTCGTTCAAGCGCGATCGGAAGGAACTGCTGATAGTCCATCGATGGCGCTGCAAAGGCATTTAATCCTGCCTCTGTGGATGGCTGGTTCGTTTTCCTGGCGGGCGCTGTCCGTCTGTCGCTGGCTGAGCCTGTCGACTTACCTGCATCATCCGGAGGTCAGTACGAACCACCGTGCAGCGTGAGACCGACCTGCACTCTGGTTCTTGATGGCAGATCCTCTGCAGCGTTACTTCATCGCCGCCTCGAGCCCGTCCAGCAGAAACAAGGCGCTGTATTTCCTTCATCTTCTTTCCTGCTATCATGGCTAGATAGGGAATGCCCCTGAATGAAAGACACTGTTGTATGGGCAAGACTGGATGGTTGAGCCTGCTAGTTACGGTGGAAGATGTCGAATCTTTGGAGGGTTGTCGAATGGTATGGCGCGGAGAATCAGTCGGCTTAACCAGAAACAACATTGCACACTCTGCAGGCTACGCTTCAAGAGAGCAACAGGCGTACGAGCAATGGAAATATTGAGTCCTCTAGAAGACCATAGCATCATCCGCCTTGAATACACACAAGTCCCGCGTGCCATACAGCTCGCCCATCGTCTCCCCAAGCCTCGTAGCCACTCCCCGCTCCTTCCCGCCCCTCCTGCCGACTGAACCCGACCCTCTGGGCTCCGTGCACATCCCGGGAGCCCCTCCGAACCAACCAAGGCACCACTCCGGCAGCCGCAAGTTTAGGAATATAAACGCAGCGTTTCCTCTCATCTCCGCCACTGGGCAGGCTGAGTTCGCTCAGTTGGCCCAGTGGTACAGAACAGTAAGTCGTCCCCCCCTCCTCCCCATTCGCCTTCACCATCCCCCAACATGAACCATGACCAGCTCGTTCGGAGAGCGGCTCTTTTTTTTGCTCTTTTTCGGGATGTATTTTTGGGGTTATGTATTGGTCAATTGCAGGCGATTGAAGTAGCTATATGTGCATTCCTTTTTGCCAAACACTCGCATTACAGTAGTGTTGAGTGCATTGCCTCTACGCACTGCCATTGCATTCCATAGCCATATCTATCTTTTGGCTTCATTGTGCATTCTTCTGCATTGTTTCTCACGGCTACATTCATTTGCCCATGTGCTGAAAGGATGGCATGCAATAACCAAGTTTGCGGTTCGAACACTTGAGCAATCAACTTTGTTGTCCAACGGCCAGGTCGCGGGTTCGAACCCCAAAACTGCCTGCCATTCCCGGAAACATTGGCATTTTCTTGGCGTCCACTCCATCCCACTCCATCTATGCCCTTGCGGCCGCATCTCTCAGTTCCACAGATAGAAACTACTCACTTCAAGATCTTATCCACAGTCGAAATGGAGTCCTCTCATCGTTCAAAGCGACGCGTGCTTTTGCCATCTTCGCGTCGGGCTGGACGCGTTTCTGCATTGCCAAATCATCACTGAACAGCACCACCTCCGCTTCTAATCACACCGCGAGCTCCATCATTGAAGATGCTGTTGCGCACAATCAGTTGCAAAGGTCAGGCGCTGCTTCGTTTAACTCCACTGCTGTCGCGACATTTGCTAACATGCTCGACAACAGATCAGACGCGAGGAACACCTTCTCACCTTTCCGGCGTGTCCAGCTCGTTCGCAGCTCATTCTCCCCTTCGGCCACTGACGCTCCGGAATCCCACGGTCCCATCAATCCTTAGAGACCCATGGACTTCGACAGCAAGTCCTTCGCTAGTTCCATCGAACCCACTCCCGCGCCGGCAACCTCCTTGAGCTAAGCCCAGATCACCGACTACAGACGCGTCTGATACCTTGGACCTTATGGCGATGCAGACAATGCAAGGTGGGTCGTAGATTGTTCAGGAATACAACGGGCAGCAATGCGATTCACAAACGGTCTTCCGCAACATCACAACCGAACAGGCACGCGCCGGCATGGCGAATCTTCCACAGGGACTCGTCAGCATGATCGAGGGGCGTCCCATGGCCGACGATATGGAGTTCCGCTACATCAAGGACTACAGCAAATTACGCGATGAGCGTAACCACGCTGGAGGGATCGCTCGGGCTCCGTGACCGCGACATGGTATTTGAGCTGGGGGCGACCGCGTCAGATAGACCATGCCGGTACGCCCACAGTGGGAGATCAGCCCGTCCGAGTACGATCCCAATAACCGACGAACCCTCCAACGTGAACCCAGCGCGACCAGCCGTGGGTCATTGACGGCGGCAGAAATGAATGGACATAAGATCCGTGGATGGGACGCGTCGTCGGAGGCCTTGAAGAATATAATACGCGGGAAAGCAGGCTCGCTCACTCCAGAACATTTCTGCACAAGACCCACCCGCGGGAAAGGAGGTTTGCTCGCTTTAAGACATTTCTGCACAGGACCCTCCGTGATGGATAATTCAATGTCCAGAGACTTCCTGCGATCCCCCTTCCGCATCAGGTTCCCTCTGACATTGCCCTCATTCGATGGCATGATGAAGAAGGGATCGTGGAATGATCATGCGTGAAGCCATGTCGACGAATAAACGCCGATGGTCCTGGCGAGGCACGACGGAGATCGGATACAGGTGAGTACAACCAGAGCCTTCAAGGCGGCGGGAGAGCAAAGAGCAAACAACACCCGACCATTGTCGTTGTTTCCCCCAGGCAATGTTGATCGCGTACACCAAAGCAAATAATGCAAGGCGAATCTTCGATCGTTCTCGACTATGAATGGCGGCAATGCCATTGTGGATCCTCTATCGCAAAGCAGACAATGTAGGGGGGCTCCTGGATCATTCCTGACCACAATTGGTGGCAATGGCATTGTGAATCCTCTATGCCAAAGCAGATAATGCAGGGTGAGTCTTGGATTGTTCTGGACTATAATTGAAGGCAATGCCATTATATTCATCTTGGCGTGGTTTTGGTGGGAGGCTGGAGTATTTAACACGCTCGAAGCCTCGCAGTAGTTCCATCTCGCTCAACAACATCGACATCGATAACCATCGAGCAACAACCTTGACAACCACCAACGTCGACTAACATCGATCAACGTTGTCAAACAATCCACAACAACCGCTCGCCATCTCCAACATGGCACAAAACCAACTCAGTGAGGTTGAGGTTCCAGCTATTCTCACCACACAGCAAATCCGCGCCGGCTTGAGCACTCTCCCACAAGAGCTCTTCARCGAGATCTACGATTTTACCTTCACCTACAACGGGGAGGATCGTCAAATTTCGAGCACTCGTGACCTTCACTTCGGCGAATTCAACGAGTTCCGCGCAACCATCGGTCGGTCACCCAACTGGAGAGACCACTCCGCGTTCAAGCGCATCGCTACCTGGACGCCACCGGCCAACATGCAGGTTGATACCACGACACGCAAGCAAGTCATGAGGCAAGTCTTTGGAAGCCAGCTTCCTTGGACGCTCTCGATGGGAACTGGCGTAGGTATGATCAACGGCCTCGACGAGTTCTACCGTTGGTTTGATGCCATGTCACCAACGGCACACCACCTCCTGGCCAATCTCGTCTTCGAAAATGAGTTTGGTCATCGAGAGAGGGGTGAGATACTTGGGCACGCGGACCGTCCGGACTGTACTGAGTGGTATGAAGTACGCATTCAGCTGGCATATCGATACTGCCGGGCCATCATGGAGATCTCTGCCCCTGGTCCATACACAGTGCTCAGGGTTTCCATCTCGGAGGGGTAGGATGAAGAAGCCTCAAGTCGGCTTTTGCAACTTTCTTGCCTCCTCTCTTTGGATACTCCTCACAATGGCGCCGACTAGCGGAGCCACTCTTATCACATCACTGCAATAACAATTTCTGCTACAACTCTTTCTTCCCTTCCACTTTCTCATCTGCATTGTTTATTGTGTGCTTGTCGCTGCCGCCGCCTACTATCCACGGGATAGGAACACGTAGTCTGGGTAGGGACCCAGCTTCGAGGGCCCCATCGACAACCCGTGGCAGCTTTACTGTCTTGATTTGAGCGAGAAATGTACCCAGTACCTTACCCTGCTCGATGCATCTAAGTTTGACCGGGCCGAAGCGGTCCGATCCCGAGTGTTGAAGTTTAACCGTAAGTCTCCACTGTTGTTACTTACTCCAACCTATCCTTTGTGACCCACACCATCACTTTATTCAAAGCAACAATGCTTTGTCAACAACACTATGGCTCTGTCCCSCGCGACAGTCGTTCATCGAGTTTCACACGCGTGGTCTAATGCAGCACTTCTTCGTGCGGATCCACACATCCAAATTACCTACCCTCAGACAATATCTCTGCTTTTGCCGCATTCCACGCACCCACTTTACTTGCACGCCTTTCAAGATGGCACGCAAGGTGCTATTGAGCGTGGAAAATTGCTCTCATCTCACGATCATATGGGAAGGCGCTTGATCAACATTTACAACCCGTATCGCGCTTCGAGCTGCCTGGGTAACCACATCATGGTACCCTTCTCGATCCAAATACGACCTGGAATTGGATCCCTTCCGTCACGGAAGCCCGCGCCTCCGGCCCTTCAACGCAGTCTGAGGACTCCGCACCTCCCAACATCGCTGTGCTCGACGCCAAATATCTCACCTCATCATCCGCATTGAACGCGCTTGACGCTCTAGCCCTCAGCACTGATAAAGACCTCAAGCCACAAGAATTTCGGAACGATGTCTTCAATCTCAAATTCACCTACAGCGGCAAGGCGCTCCTTATTATAAGGGCAGCGGGAAATGGTTCCGGTGATCACATTGCCACTTGAAAACCACTGGCTCTGTTGCAAGTGTCACGGGATACGCGCGAGGAATACGCGGAGCAGTTCCACGGCAGCAATCTTCCGTGGACTCTGAGGCAACGTGCGCAACACAATCGCCTGCGCTGGTGGCGGGCACAGTCTCAGTTGGCGCGAGCGATATTGGAGAAGGTGGAGATGACAGAGAGCGCCGAAAGCGATGCTGGCGTATAGAGGATGGCTCTATGCAAGTCGCGCACACGACCGGGCAGTCTCATCATCACGTCCGATCATTGCGTTGTTGGACTACTGCTCATGCGAAGCCCGGACCTCGCATCTTGCGAGAGGTACACACCATGCGTCGACGCAGGGAAAGGGAGTGAACTAGGATGCCTGCGGCGGTCCATTACTGCAGCCGACGGAGCGACGAAGCCATCTTTCTGGCACTCGCGCAGGGACAGCTTTCGCTGGTGTTTGAGGCACTGAACGTCTTTACCTCCGAAAGAAGGAATACCCTGCTCCACCATGAGCCTTCGAGGCTGGTGCGGGAGTGGACTCTGTTTCCCCCAAATACATATTCTCCGTTTCGTCCGCCAGATCCCCTTCCGCATCCTTGCGCTTGCCAGTGATCGAACCCATCGGCAGCATGGTTCTTCACGGTATCTTCGGAGTATCTGGGCAGATCTCCTGCCTTTCGGTAACCACCGTTGAAAATCAGGTACCACTGCTCATCTTGGAGAGTGGTCACGTTGTGGTACATGACGAGATGGTGGTCGCGTACTGGCACCGCGGTATCTGCCTCATTCCGGGCTATCCACGCCGGGAACACCGTCCCAAGTTGTCGTACACGCCACTGTGCGATATGGAACAAGAGGTGATCTAAGCTCATTTCAAGGAACTAAGATGCCTCCTCACCACCCAGCAGTACCCAACTCTCCTTGATGTCGTGTCCTCATGATGGGGCAGGAAGAATGATTGTTTGCAGCAGGAACTGCACGGTGCTCCACCATATCATCTAGACCCCCTAATTCCTCGACGAGGGCTACGCAAATTGTGGTTTCTGATACAAACAACAGGAGCCTCAAGAGTTTCGACATCCTCCACCTTCTCTGAACGGTGAAATCGATGATAGGAGACAGCGGGGCTGCAATGGCAGAGCATCTGAGAGGCGAGATCATGTTAGACGTCAAAGTCTCTCTGGAAAAGCATAGTACAGCATGGACCAAACTTCCTACACTCTTCCAGCAAACCCCTTTCTAGCTCCTGTTTCATTCTCGTAGACTGAATATGTACGTTGCCTTTGGCCTTGAGTGATTTGTTAAACGATTACACGTAGTGAACATTGATGTATCGATCCTCGTGCTTCCTCTTTCTCATGTTTCTGCCAGTGGTCGTGAGAGACGGCCCAAAATCGCCGGACGAAGGATAGATACCGATCATCATCATCTTTCCGCCATCTTTGTGTGGTTTTATTTTCTCGTCGATGTCCGCCCTCTTCAGCAACTCTGTTGATTAGCTGTCCTCGGCTCGACTTATGACTAGCGTGGATTCTGAATCAGAACCAGAATCCCGCGACTCGGGCCAGGACTTTCTTTGCTCGATTCCAACTTAGCTTCGTCAACAACAACACCCTACCCACGACCGTCAAAATATTCAACACGCGCGCTATTCTGTCCATTACGTGCTGCTGCCGCCACGTAGGCAGTGTTGGAAGCACTGCACAAATTTGCTACACTGCGGTCAACCCAGCTTTCCATCCACCAAGAAGCCAGTAAGCAATTGAACGCGCCTCCAACTCCACATATCCTACATCATGGCAGCTACCGAAACTGCTTCTTTCGTCGCGCAAGACGAGAACCTCCCCGATACCGTTCCCACCAAATCCTCGACAATACTCAGCGTTCCAGCCCTACGCGCGGGGATTTCAACCTTACCTCAAGAACTTTACGACAAGATTTTCGACTTCACATTCACATACAATGGCGAGGCTCGGGAGATCGCCTCCACCGTCGAAAACAACAACGGCGACGTCCACCTCGTCACGTGGAAACCACCAGCAGCGCTACAAGTCTCCAAGAAGACGCGCGAGACCTACGCGGCTGCGTTCTACGGCAGCGCTCTCCCATGGACCGTCGGGTGCTACGGCAACGAAGTATATGGGGACATTTGGAGTTGGTGGCACGCACAGTCGGAGAAAGCGCATGAGATATTGCTGAACGTCCACATCTCGCGGATCTCCGAACTCAGATCTGTTGGGAGCGGCTACGAGCTCATTGATATGTCATGTGAGATGGACCCTGATGGCGAACCCGAATGGTTCGGTCTATCAATGGAGAAGCACAGCATGGCTTGCCTAGACCCGGGCTCTATCTGCRAAATTTCCACGATGAAACCCGGAGGGATGATTATAGAAGGAGAGGAGTGGATCGGCGATGAGTACATCGCCGCTACCGGGGATCTGTATGTATCTGTATGCTCCTTTCTCATACATGGGGTTTTGGCTAACTTTCCGGGCCTCAGACTCGCTTCATTCACTACGCCCGACGACTCGATCGATATTCAGGTGTGGGCGTTGCAGAACAACCCAGCACCACCAAGGATCAGGATATTGTGGGGTCAACAAAACTACACCTAAGTCCAGACCGGCACGTATCCGGGGCCAACCAACATTCTCAGGCGCCTAGGATTCTCGGACGACTCGTGCTTTATGTCGGCCACTTCCAAGAGGAAGAGGTACAAGTGAATGGCTTTGAACACGGTGCAGTTGATGTCAGGATATGGGGCGCGTGCTGCGTGTTATCAATCCTGCTGCCTGGAACCTCGATCTGTTTGACGGCTAAGGCCTAGCATCGCGCGTGGTGTTAACAATACACACCCTATCTGGGGAGCTTCATTATGCTGATACTTGTCTCGCAAGCCATCGTGAGACCAAGGATAGCGTACTTTCATAATGAATAATACTTCCATGCACGTAAAGTAATCCCCATTACAGCGTACATCATTTTCACWGTCGCTCAAACATAAGCGTTGTACTCGCCTTTCGATTATTCAAGCCGTGCTCTCATGTGATATGAATAGTACAATGACTGCCGTGTCGTGCCCGCGAATCGCTTTATGTGATGCCTCGCTGCAGATGTTGGAGATGGCATAAACAAGGTTGAGGTCCGGAAGTTTCTGAATCTCGCATGTCAGAACAGCCACTCCCCTTCTTCTCTCTAGCTGTCGGCACCACAGCACGACGCACTTTCAAGACCTGTTCTACGCGTCCTTCGGGTACCATCAGACGAACAAAACGTGCACTCTCTCGTTGACAGCACTCGATTTCCCGCCAAAGCCTCGCACAATCTCAGAGCTCCTGGATTTCTCCTCTCGTCCAAGTCGAGCTCAGATTCGGCAACTCGACATGGCTTCAGTACATATTCTTCTTCTACTCCAGGCTCAAAGACGATCTAACACCTGGCAGTCTACGTCCGTTTCGTATCACCCTCTGCAGCAGCTCAAGATCCCATCCAACGACGAGCGCGCACAATCCGAAACCAAGCTCGAAATGCCACCCGCTCCTTCGCCTTTCCCCGATTGCACAGAAGCCTGGTCCGACAACTTCTTCCTCCCCGACATCCCCCCTCCACTAAGCGCAGACGAGCTACGCGCCGGCCTCGCCACATTACCACAGGAGCTCTACGATATCATCTACGAGAAGAGCTTCAAATTCAACCACAAGGAAGCGCTGCCGATTCCTATCTACTACAATACGGCTGGCAGAATTGTCACTACTTGGAAACCTCCGATGCAGCTGCAGATTGACCATAAGATGCGCGAGGAATATCTTCGGACCTATTATGGAGGTAAGGCGATTTGGTTGGCGGATCTTGAGGGCGAGGAGTGTGATTTGGTTAAGTCTTTCAACTCTTGTCTGTGGAAGTTCGGTGGAGGATGGACATGATTGAGGACAAGTGCGATTAGGTGCTCTGGTCGTCTTTGCAGGCCTAGAGCAGCTGGCTACGGTGCACAAGGTTGATCTCCTCGACGATCAAGCAGTCCGACTGTTCTCCGTGCATGGACAGGAGTGCCTATCTACGAAGCGGAGCAGTCAGAGCATCTCTCAGTGTTGGATCCCTGGCAAATTCGGCGATTTCATTTGGTGGAAGGACCGGTAATCATGGACAAGAAGCATGGAAAGACTTTACACAGAGAACGAATCATCTGTCGATTACCACCACATCGTTCATGTTTTTTAGGAGGCTCTCGTCTCTTTCCACGTAATAGCGGATCCTTCCTCAACGCCCCGTCTTCGACTGGTCCTCCGCCTCGAACATGTCGGCCACGGCTATGTGTAGTAGTGTTCCCTCGAGAACGAACGCGAAAGACTTGCCCGCCCTTGTCCTATCTGACGCCTCTCGAGGGGAGCAAGTAGTCCTTGAACATGGCTGTTCCTCCGGCCCCGTGATGTACCAGATCACGCAGACGGTTTTGCGAAGAGCTTGGGAAGTCCTGCGACGCGATATAAACTTGCTTGACCGCCGTAGAGCCTGACTTCTGCATCATCGATCGAGTCTCTCTCTCATCGTACGGAGGGAGGCGGGTCTTGCTTCATTGAGAGTCTCTCTCTCATCGTACGAAGAAGGGCGGCCTCTGTTTCCGGCAGAGTCTGTCTCTCATCGTACACAGCATCGTGATGTTCGTCTCAGCGAGAAACTATCTCCCTCGTCGTACGAAGAAGCGGCATGACTTCTGAATCATCAAGTCTCTCTCTCATCGTACGGAGCAGCTTGGCAACTATCTCATCAAGAGCCTCTCTCTCATCGTACATGGAAGAGGGTGAACTTCTGAATCACCGAGCTTCTCTCCGATCGTATAAAGACAGTGCTGTCATAGTGATAGCTATCATGTTATGGCGACTTCCAGACATGGAGAGTGTGCGTTGGTGCCTGTTTCGGCTCCTGCAAAATTTCACATGTACCCGCTATTATTCTCCTTCCTTTCCCTCACTTCCTCGCAACAACAACAACAACACCACATCACACACACAAACACACACACACACACACATACACACGCAATGGCGAACTCGCCACCACCAAATCCTCCCGGCTCGCCGCCGCCAACGCCGCCGCCATCTCCTCCTCCTCCTCCTCCTCCACCACCGCCGCCGCCGGTCGCCTAAGGGCGGCCACAACAATCTCACCAGAGACCCTACGGGGTCCCCTGAATTCTTCTATTGTCTTGCGTGAGGCTGGTCGCCATCGCCCGGACAGTTTAACGTCCTCAAACTCCTGCGTGGCCTCGCTTCTCTTCGAGACCTCGCTTGCGGCCTCGCTTACCATCGACAGCCGTTGCACCGTTTTTGTCAACAGATGTTCACGCCGCTGTCAGCATCCCCGCAACAATGACTCGAGCATCGTGGATGGTGCTGCGGTGGTCAATGCCTGACACGGTGAGGAGAGGCGTCTGGGTCAAGCCAGGCTTGCTTCACGCATGATCTTGGACAGGTACGATGGCATTCATCTTAATTACGGCACTTGCTCAACACTGACCTCTTCTCAACCAGACCCTGTGATCTCACGAGATCATTCGATAGGTGTGAGACGGGCCCACCAAGTCAGCATCACGGTCAAACCATGCGATTCCACTGCAAGCCGTCGAGCAAGCCATGAACGCCATTCGTTGATTGCTGGCACCAAGAGTGAGAAGGCGAGATCAGCTTTTGGTGATTTGGCCTGTGGGTCACCGTTGACCGCCATCATCGCCGCCGCTTCCGGCAACGTATTGTTGCTGCCGCAAGATGTCCGTAGATTGAGGGAGCTCGCAACCTCCCTGACCACCTTGGACATGACTGACGACAGCGATTATCAGGCTTCAAGACTGCTGCGTATTGAGAAAATATCTCGATGCTACCCTGGTACTCTTCGGCCATGCACTGCTGAGCACATCAAAGCGCAGACCTCCATCGCCAATGCTTTTCAGAGTATCCGCAACGCCCGCACAATTGCCAGCACCATTCTATGCATGATTTGGCACCATGAGCAAGCTTCTCAGTCTGCTTCGCCTGCCAAGAAGTGCCTGTGAGAGCTACAGTAATTCCATGCCAATCGTCGGCAGCCGCTGCCTCAGCGCCAGTTGGCACAGTTGACGAGGGTATGAGGAAAAGACGATTCTGGGACTTCATCGTCTTCCCCCTGTCTGCCAGGTGCATTCGTTCTCGGAGTCGCGAAAGCCGCCCGTTTCCTCGCAGACGGGGCCAAGGGCAAGAACATTGTCGGACCAAGGTTAAAGGTCAGAGTATTGTCAGAGCACACAGCATCAAGGAGTTATTGTGGATCACAAGACGGTACGCATTGAACTTCTCGGTGTGTCCAGCAAGCCTGTCCTGGGGAAAACAAAGAGCATTGTCGGAGCACACAGCATCAAGGAGTTATGTGTCTCTCAAGAAGCCACGCCGTATGATACTGTTGGGTGTTTTTGGCAAGCCTGTGAACGCCTCACTGGTCTCATTGCACCTGGTCAAAGCAAAGAGCATCGTCGGATCACACAGAATCAAGGAGTCATGCGTCGCTCAACAAGCCACGCCTGTTGGGTGAATTTGGCAAGCCTGTTGACGACTTACCGGTGTTCTTGACCCCGGTCAGCACAAAGAACATGGTCGGAGCGCACAGCATCAAGGGATCATTTCGCAGCTCAAGAAACTACGCCATATGATACTTCACAGTACTTTCGGCAAGCCTGTCGACGACTCACTAGCGTCTTTGCTGCCGGTCAACACAAACGGTATTACTGGTACACGCAGCCTCAAGGAAACATTCGACTCTCAAGAAACTACGCGGCATCATCCTGCTCGGTGCGTTCGGCAAGCCCGTGGACTACTGAGCGGTCGACTTTGGTCTGTTCAAGGTCGAAAGCATTTTCGACCATTTCAAAGTCAAAGCGAGAGCAGCATTGAAGAACACAGCATCAAGGAGATATTTCGAAGGTCGAGCAGCCGCGCCGCCGTATGATACAGCCGGCTGTGTCTGGTATTGCTGGTGACGAGTTTCTGGTCCCTTTCCTGTTGATCAGGGTCAAGAGCATCGCTGGAGCACACAGCATCAAGGATTCATCTCGACATATAAGAAGCCACGCCGTACGATAGTGTCCGCTGCCATTAGAACGTTTTCTACCGGGACTCTTCTCGCCGACGATCATGACGGTGAGGCCCAGGAACACTTTCGATGGCGAAGAAACACAATACTCGGATCCCAGCCGCGGCCGCAGTCTCACCGGGAAGGAAATCGGCTCGATTGGGAAGAGGGTTCGTCGAGAGAAGGAGAATGCCCGTTGCCGCTCATCTCTGGTGCCAAATGGGGATGAGGAGGCCTGGTCATACATCAAGGACGTCCTCCGGAGCATCCTCGCCAGGTCCGACGTCGAGCTGTGTTGTCTATTGTCGGTGGGATCTGTGGTCAGGGTGCTATTGACCACTTTGAGATGGTACACAACGGTATCGAGTATCGAGTATGAGAACATGCAGCTGGCTTGCGAGGCATGTCAATACTCACAGCTCCATTTGGTCTAAATACCTTCGAGTGAAACTCCCAGGCAGGTCATTGAATCTGTCGAGCTACCTCCCTGGAATCCATTTCACTTCGAGACTTGAATCTCACACTACAAGAGCAACGGTAGATGTGCAAGCTTTGTTCCTCAGAAAAAACTTGATTGCAGCGACCAATCCGTCCACTTGCTGTGTATGCTGCGTACACTTGTGATCGACGATTTGCCAAGGCAGCAACCAGCTCAGCCCACGGCGTGGGTCTTTTCTTGAAAGATCGCATTGGCTCGCCGACAAATCTATTCGCTCTTTGATCGCTTGCCTTGTTTGGTTTCGCTCAGCAAGCTTTTGTTCCGTGATAAATGGTAGGAAGGACGCAGTGGTGCCTGCAGCATCTTCTTGATATCACTGTTCCCACTCGTACTCACTTCCTTGAGCCTATACGAAACGAAAATGTGCTTTCTTACGCTGTCGCATGTGACATTTACTTTTGAATGATGTCCGAAGCCACTTGGACATCATGGATCCAAGATGGGGAAAGATCGGCGTTCTCCACTACGACCAGATGACCTCGACAACCTCATCAATCCAAATTTCTTAACTAACATACCTCTGCCACATTCTTCTCTCGGTCCGCGATCGTCCGGCAAGCTTCCTCCGACACTCTACTCGACGCGCATGTTGACGAGCGTTACAGATTACGACATTTGAAGCTTTTCCGCGCCGCTTCCAAACATATATCCGGCTACTCGACCTAGGGAATCATCGAACAGCAGCACTGTCGTATGCCCGAGTCTCTTTGTTCCATTCGAAACAATGCTAACATGAGTCGGAACTTCCCTTCCGCCATCATGCCGGACTTCAAGTGTGACACCTGCTTCGAAATGAAGACCGGCCTTCCGACCCTGATCAGATCGAACGCGCTCTGCTCAGAGTGTGTCGAAACGAACATCCTTCCCGCCTTTGTAGCCGCATGCAATCACATCTTTCACCTCCCAGCCAGATTCGGTATGGTAGTGATTGACCTGGATAGCGTCGCCAACGTCCTGCCGCCAGACCTCGTCACTCGATACGTCGAGCGAAGCCGAGAGGCAGGAACACAGTTCAAGCATCGAATGTACTGCAAGCACACCGCATCATCCGGCGAGCTGTGTGGAGTCTTTCTTGGCAGCCGCATCGATAGCCATGCCGACGTGGTGTGTACTGCGTGCCTCCGCCCATCCTGCGAGGACGGCTTCCCTCGCCTTGCCAACGCTTTCCWCTTCTGCGACATCCATCCTGCCCCAAATCCAACCGCTGGTCTCTCATCGGTCACTCGCGGCAAACAGTGGCAAGCCTGTCCAGATCAGGAATGCGGAAGGCCAGTTCAACGTAACTTGGGATGCAACCATATGACATGCCCAATCACTGTTTGCAAGACCGAGTTCTGCTTTCAATGCGGATGGCGAGTGGACGAGCACACTTTGAAAACGCATTTCGGCTGGGACGGTCAAGGCTGCGATCTGGCGGACGAGACTCCTGGACCGACAGAGGGATTCGCCGAGTGGGGAGATGCCCGTGAGCGTTTGCGAGCGTACCGCAGCAATGGTCGAGTGCTGCCCGATGGAAATGAATCTCCCTCCAGCAGCACCCAGACACAGCCCAATCTGCTGCCCGTTCGCCATGATCCAGTTCGTGCGCAGCGTGCGGCCGCCGCTCGAGCAATTCTCGCTGCTGGACGGGCTCGCGAAGATGATCCTAATGGGCAGGACAGCTCTCTCGCTGAGCCGCCTGGCTCGGGTGATCGTTAAGGCAGAGGGTCTGCAGCAACTGGCCTCATTGCGGAGCGGAGCTCTGGTCAATGGATGAGGACTTGGATGGCAGCGCGCTGGGAGTCATCGTGCCTTCGTCTACGGTGAACGGCTATACGTCAAACTTCGCCGAGTGGCTTAATCCCAATGACGAGGAGTCGAATCCGGAGCGCGTTACTCTTGTGCGCAAATCATGCAGTCTGGATGGCAAGGGAGGAACTAATGAGGGGATAGTTCACGCCACGCCGCCGACCATTGCAGCGAGTCTCATGGAGGCTGTCAGTGCCATGGACCCAGACGGCATCCGCACCAGCACGACAATCGTGCTCTTCACCTTCCAGAGCTTCCACACGAAGGTGCTGTCTAAGAAGCAGAGGGTCAATGTCAAGAATGGAAACAGCAAGCAGGCCGAGAAAGAGACCCGCAACGATATATTCATGGAGCCGATTGACGCTGCGAGATCAGATCTGGAGGAGATATTCAGGTACGCAGATTCCGAGGAAGAAGTCGACAGTCCCATCGGGTGCAAAAGGCGAAGAGGAAAAGGGATCTCTCGACAATTTCTCAAGTGCCGGCAAGTACCCCGTCGACTGATATCGCGGCCGACCCTAACCGCAGTCAGATTCACGGCCCAGTCTCTTCCGATGACTAGACCGATCAGGATTGTACCGTTGCTGGGAAGGGCATGCAGCACCAGAAGAATATTGGGACAGAGGTGGAGTGCAGGTGTAATTGTGGGGAACTCAACGGGAGCCGGAAGATCATGGTCATTACCAAGAATAGGCTTTCGCCGGAGGACATCGAGGTTGTCGGTCTCCACTACGAAGCCTAGCGATGCAATGAGCTTGGAGCCCGCTTGACCTATCCACACATTCTCCACGGAGTGAAGCCTGGTCTTTGAATCCGGCGCACGATTTCTACGCTGGAAGAGTGGTGTCTTTGAAAATGGTCATATCGGCGATAGAGATGAGGTCTACATTGCACACCCTGACCTCCTTCCTGGATACTCTTCCCCATCTAGCTACTCCAACCACTATGAAGCCATCGGCTACCCGGTTCCGGCAGCAGTCGAGCTGAGCAACAATGGCCCCATCTCCGATGCACTGGTGGCTCAACAAAAGTGGACCTTTTCAGAAGTCCAGTACTATCATTCAAGAGGCCCGTCGCGTTAAGCCCAAGACGGATTTGCAGACAAAGGCGTGATTTCAATCCAGCAACGTCAGGGAAACCCTTCTCACAGCCAATCCTGTTGGGAACTTTAGTCGTGACATCGATGGTCGCCCCTGATTTATGCAGAAGCACTTTAGTGCCAATCAAGACGACGACCAATCATCCGTGCCCGACTGTGACGCATGGGACAAATCGATCGACGGCTTTCACAGTCGTGCATTGAACGCAATGTCAGACGAAGGAAGTCTCAAGTACCTCCGGTTCTTTGATCCTATCGCATTCTCAAAGAATGTCACCGGCGAGGCCACGAGAGAGGATTCCAGTCTGTGGTCTGAGACGATTCCTCTGCCTATTTCAATGTGCACCCGTCGCCCCCGTCGGCAGCTAGTACGGACAGAACTGAAAAAGCTACGACGAGCCGTCCTACACAGCTCTCGAATCTTGTACATCAAGGCAGTGTTGATTTCAAGGAGGAAACCACCGCCCATTTCGCTGCAACGGTCTCGGCGACCGCCTTGAAGAAAGCCCTAAGTCCACTAGAGTCCGTTGAGCGGCTTAGCAGCAGACCTCCAGGTATGTAGGAACTGCGGGACGGCTAWGTGGAACTACGCTTGAGACTTAGAATTAGTGACTACAAAATGGTACTTCTTCCTTCTAATTATACATCGTGCAATCCATGCCAGCCATTGTCTTATCATTCTGCCAGTGGAACATCTCCCCCATTAGTTTGGGCTTTCTCGCCATCTTCAAAATCACTCATATGGTCTGTTCAGTGTGCAGTCTCGGGCAGCCAGGCTTGAGCTATACTCGCTCTTTCGGTAAATGTCTTCTGGATGACGAATACTGCATGGAGGCCAAGAGTAAGGCCAGGAGTGTCGAACCAACTTCAGGGCGTACTGGCGTAGATGAGCCTTCCGTGCTCGGTGGTCAGAGTAGAATGTCAGATCCAAGAAAGCATAGAGCTCGGGCATAACTTCACAAGGTTCGGAACGCCTTCCAAGCCACTGCTCGGTCGTGGGATCTCACTACTGTAAAGCCCCGCGCGGCTGTTGACGATACTTTCCAAGGCTACCTCGTACATGAACTTCATCCACTCGGGAGCRTGCTGTCCTCCAAGAGCCATGATCCACACGCCATATAGCTAGCAGATACTCTACCCTGCGAAAGTTCGCAGGTGCGATCACGTTTCTGTTGCGTCTATCGTATGGTCACTCAGCCAGGAAAAGAAACTCAACTGGTAGATCTTCAAGGCGTAAGAGTCCGAGGAGTGGGAATACGTCAATCTTGTCGGAAGAGAAGCAAATGTGAATCCGGAGGAGAAGCCGTTTCACCTTGGGGAATACACAGATCACACACGGATGCATTAGAGGCGCAGAACAACATCGAGGCTCGGAACAATGAAAGTGCTGAGCCGCGTTGCCGATGGAAAAGTAAAGGCGGCTCCAAGCCGTATATCTTTGCCAGGCCGCGCCATCATGGCCATCAATGCTGAGCTTCAATCGAATGATGCTTGCGTCTGAAGTTGCAAACTCTTCCGTCATGCTATACCTTGTACCGGAGGTAGTAAGGGGCTCGGAGTGAAGTAAAAGGCAGAACGTCGAAGCGGACGGAACACTCAGCGTATATCTCCATGTGTGGGGCCTAGTAACTCAGGTGAGTCCGGTCTCCAGGAAAGGTTGGAAAAGATATGCCTTGCAGTGGGTGGGCGGAACTACTTGCTTACGATAGATCGGTACGAAAAATCCTTTTTTTCGCGCACGCATCGTGACCCTTGCCCCCTGCTCTCGATAAGTGATTGCACATGCCAAGTATGATTCGTCTCCGCGGGTGGAATAGAGTCTTTGGAAGAGAAAGTATCTCAAACTGAGACATCTTCAGTGCTGCTCATGGAGGCCCAAGTCAAAGCTGCACGGGCGTGTCGGTGTCCATGTCGTGCGTTGCATGCTACCATATTGTATCGAAGGCGCCGTCTCAGACCAGGCGACGAGCCTCTCGCTCCTGATTGCAAGCTGCTCAGCCTTGTCGGATCAATCCTTATGCTAGCAGCGATAGTTGGACGTTCTGGTGACAATCGTTATGTTCGCGTCGTTTGATGACTTGATAAGGTGGATGAGGCGGTGCTCTCCTCCAGTGAGCTACGTTAATATTGAGCACGCACGAGTAGAGTCCTGTGGAGTCATAGCGAATCATGACCCTTGATCAATGAGCTCAGGTAGATCTCCATAATCCTTTCCTCCTGAGCGCTATCAGAATTGATGAAGAGGCTCAAAACTGCAATCTGTAGTACCTTTGCAAATCAAAGCTGGCTTTGGAACCCATATCAATTGCACGACCAGAGGATGAATGTGGGAGGCGATTCGGTTGATACATCATTGTCTTCTGTGCTTGAAAGTGGGATACGATACGCGTCCGAAGTTAGGAGCTGCTGAAGGTGTTTGGGAAATGTACCTGCTCTATGCTGCCCAAGTCTCTTGCCTTGCTGCCTGCCGTGGAGGGGTCTTGTTTTGTCGACTTGAATGTAAAGAAGCCCTGCCTTGCAGCAAGGCTCTTGATGCCAATCTTGTCTTTCTCCCCGATCGGGAGCGAGAAGAATGGCGATCCTCCCAAGACTATCGATGAATCTCGTCGGGTGCTTCTGTACATTCGACGTACGGGACGATCGTCGGGCCGATGGATATTGGAGCAGATCTTGCATGCTCATATTCGACGTGCAGCTGAGTCCAATTGCGCTGTATGTGGGAGACATTGGGCATGCATGGATGATGAACTGTATGGTCTCCAGTGCTCTTGCTCCCATTGCTTTCGGCTCCATCGCACTTGCCTTCCAGTATCATTGTGCGTCGAACGTAACGCCTGTTCCAACGTTTCCAGCCTCATGTGTCTCGCTCTCTCGATCTCTGCTCATGAACGGCAGTCTTGCAACCTGCTTCGATTTATCCTGCGGACGGAACTCGGATTCCCATATATTTCCTCGTCTTACAGCGTCTCCTGAATCACTCCGGGGATAGCGAGTCTTCTGATAGCAGCCTGCGTTGCGATCGAGTTCTTGTACCATTGTGGAGTATGCTGCATCGATCGAGGTCGTTGAAAGGGGAGCAAAGCGTCCTGCGGGTAGACTTTCAACGTTCCTGGCCTCGTTGCTGTCTGATTGAAATCAAAAAGAATGCTTGATCGATCTCATCGGGGACAGGTCCAGCTCAATCAGCGTACCGGCTGCTCGTACTGCCGCCATTAACGGCAGCGGAGTTGGTTGAACGCCTTTGTTCTTCGTAGCTGGGAAACCTGCAGGCTACGAGAACAAGGAGCAGAAGGATGCTTAGTATTCTTTGTCCGCCAGATGCAGAAGCTCGCCAAGGTGGAGAGCTGGCGACGGGAGACAAGCGGCTGGACCTGAACAAGATGCCTGCACGAAGCGCCGCGGAACACAGCGGCTTTTCGATGTTAAGTGCTGTTCTTCGGTGACTGGGTAAGGCGTAGCGCCCACCTGCAAGCATCTCTCAAGCAGTATACATATCAATGCCGTCTCCTTGAAGGGGTGAGATTGCCGAGTCTCTAGAACTCTCAAGATCCTCGGATACGACATCCGACATCTTCAAACCCTTGAGGTGAAGTTTGATTTTCCTCCCTGTCATCCCCATCACAACCATGCCGACGATGCCTGCTCACGGTCCAATACTCCGTCCACCCTGTTCCTCGTCTATCCGGCAGCAGGTCTTCTCGGTCATCTTGCATCCATGGCGCATCGAGTAGCCTACTCCTGCTCCTTTTGCGATACCAGCTGCGGTACAGAACTCTCTCAAGGTTGCCGCGCCGTGCAGCGACCTTTGCAACTCGGCAGCACCTTAACACCAGTTCTACGCCTCGCCGGTAAGACGCGATCCTACTGTGGCGGTCCTTTACTGACTGACGCCAATCCCCGCTCCGTAGCTACGGCGGCCCACTCCTTCCAGCATTACACCTGGGCGGCGTCTGTTTGCCAAGGTTCAAGCACACTACAAACGCTTCAAACGGCGCACACGAGACTTTGATCTATCACAGCAAGATACAATAGCCTCTTCAACGGCTCGCAACATACTTGTTGTGCCAGGCGACAATGACCTTCAATTCTGGCAATGCTCTGACCTCGCCAGCCGACAAACACTTCTGAGCGACGGTGAGTTGTCGAGCGCGCCTTGCCGCTACGAGCTACTCTCCAGCGGCCTTCTCTGCTCCGGTCCCCCAACGCGACGGTTGCAGCTTCCTCTTCGCATGCCGCGCGTATCCACAAGCGGTCCTCGTGTTATCAATAATTCGAGTACACGATGTCCTCGACGCATCGCGTCACCAGACATCTATGGCGGGGCAACCGGTACTCAAAAGCTGGCATGCCAGCCGCAAACGACATTGTCACCGAGGCGTTACAGTGCTGTCCCCCGGCACATCRAAGAAAACGACGCAATCGCCCGCCGGCATGACTTCGACACCACAGCGTCCCGCAGCTCTTCGCCATTACATGCAACAAAAGGCAAGTCCATCCCATTCTACCTTCCCCTTACTTCTCCAGCATGATGATACATCAAACGAAATCTCTGAGCACGAAGGATATCGACCGCCGCGCACTGACCCCGTGTCCTTGAGTGGGGCGTTGTCACGCTGGCTCGTGCGTATATCTGTTCTTTCGCCCCCGACCGTGGGTTTGGTGAAGGTCTAT